GTTGTTCAGCAGCCTGCCATGCTCTGCCGACCTTGGGACTTATAATGGACTTAAGTTCATGGCCTGCTGTGTGGTTTGGTAACATTGGGACTGTGTCTTTTTGCTTGTCAACCTTGGGCTTCTCAGCCTCAGCAGCCAGCAGCTGTCTGAGTAAAGAAATGCCTCTAGCTTGAGTGGGTCAGCAGCAGAAGGCAGAGCTGAAGCCCAAGGTTGAGGGGCTTTCACCCAACCCCTAGAGCCTGGCTCTTGGAACTTGGCCTTAAAGCCTCCAAATTGTAAGAATAAACTCCTGTTTGTTAAGGTCATCCCATGTGTGGTATGTTCCTGTCAGACTGGCACTTGGTAACCAGACAGTGACTAAAACCATGTCTTTCTCTAGTGACTGATTCTTCTTGACAACATGTGCCAAGTGAGAGAGACGGAGTGTCAGTGCCCTCTCTTCTAAGGAGTATTCTGGCTGTACTTCTTTGAAGCCAGGTTCGTTCATTCTTCTGGCAGTCCATGGTGTAGTCTTCATTAACACTAAGATTTGAATACGTCAGTTCATCTTCATTGTCTGGCTTTCATCTTTTTTTCATTGTCTGGCTTTCACATGAAAATACCGTAAGTCATCAGAGTGACATCTTTGCTTTTTAACACTCTGAGTACTTATTTTCAATTCGGTTGGGTATATGACCTTGGACTCTTGGTTCTCTGTTGCATTGTTTTTGCCAGATAGTGCCCACGTGGAGTCATTTTGTATGTTAACACTCATCTTTGAAGGACATCAGTGGGTAGGCCTATTCCATCAGCTCTTGGAGAGGCTACCGCTGCAGTTCTCTTCAGTGCCCACCAGGTAGCATCTGCACACAGAAAATGCCCGAGGGCGGCAGGGGAGCTCTCCAGGCTGCAGAAAACTCCTTGTGTCCATCCTTCAGCTGAAGAGGAGCACTTCCTCTTGGGAAGCTGGTGAGCCTACAGGCAGAAACAGCAGCTTTAGCCCAATACTCCTGTGACTAAGCCACACCTACATACCCAGAGAGAGGAGGTTATTCTTAACCTGAGAACTTTGTTTTCACTTCAGGCAGCTACTTAAAGTTCTAATTGGTTCCTGTCTCTAAAAACATAAGGAGATTAGTAAGTGTCTGGGATGGCAAGTCAATGTTGTAACATTTCTTCATAGCCAGCACTTCCTTGTCATTTGTCAGTTTAAGGAGCCGTTTCTCTCACAAGTTCAGTCAGCTGATTCACAGACCCAGAGACATGAAACATTTCATTTGTTTTTCCAAATGCATCCGACAAGGCCTTGTTTGCAGCATTGCTTGTTGTACTAAAAGACTGTCAATGGCATCTTTGTCCATCACAGGGGACTCTCCAGGCTCTGTGTCCCCATCTTCAGGCGACAGCTCTAGTTTTCTTTTGGAGATCCCTCCCTCATCAGTCCAGCAGATTAGGACTGCACTCCTGGTCCAGAGGTGAACCACACAACTCAGGTCTAAGCCAGTCACATCTCAGCCCCCTGGCCACAGTTATTGGTCAAAGGGGATGGGCTGTCACATCAACTGGACCAATGAGAGTGAACCTCAGGATCTCTGCAAAACAAAAAACAGTGGACTCTGATTCATGATGCTGCCACGTGTGTCAGAGTAGAATTGTGCCCCAGAGGGTTCTCAGAGGCAGGTCACCAGGCCTTTCTTCTGAGATACCTGTATGGACCTGGACTGCCAGCCTTTTGGTTAGCAACTGGGCATGTTAACCATTTGCACCACCCAGGGATCCCCAGGGTATTTGAGGGCTCTAACAAAAGGGGTTTTCTCCTTCCCATTGGACTTGAGTCTGGTAGTAAGAGTTGAGGCTGAAGCTATTAGAGCCACTTAGATGCAGACCTGCCAGAAACCAAAGTGGGCACAGCCTGAAAATAAGCCAACACAGCAGGGGTAGAGCCAAGAGAGGGACACCTTCTGAATCAAGCCGTGCCTGAAGCCCACCATCCCCAGACTAGTGCATTGTGCGAATCATTCCCCCTTTGCTTATGTCAGTTTGAATTTGATTGTGTGAGACTTGCAACCAAAATATTCCTAATTGATACACTAGAGCCTGGCAATATAGGAATACACGGTCAATATAAGACCTTCACCCAGAAGTAATCTCATCCTACATAATGAGATTTGGATTAAATTGATGATAAGGTTAACTCTAGGGAAAACATCACCCTAAATCTCCAGTAGACTTGTTTCTTTAGTTTGGAGAGTATGCTGGTAAGTTGTCGTTATGACAGATGAGCAATCACAGGGTGGTGGTTTGCTTTGTAGTAGAGATCGCTGATTGACTCTCAGAATCCATTCCCCCTCCTTTAGAATTAGGAACTTCAGTTTTTAGTTGGGGCTTCCTAGGCTGTAACCTTCACAGGGACAGATCACCACCAGTCTTTGCTCTCCGGGGGCAGCTGGTGGGTTTGAGCTACTGAGCTCTAACCACTGTCTTTTTGGTTAGCATCTGAGTGCTTAACCATTGTGCCATCAGGGCTCCTTGTATTGCTGCTAGGGAATGGGAATCTCCAACCTGTTTATCTTCACCTAGTTGGCTTGAGTGGTTCCCAAATTTTCTCAGAGATATTAAAGAAGTAGTGAAAAAGATTATGAGCTTGTTCAACTGAATTCTTGGAAGGCAATTCTTGGATCTTACAGGTACCAGTAATCCTGTTTCCCAAAGTAAACTGCCTACCAGTAGTGTTACTAAGATGATTTTAGACACTAAAAAGGTAAACTTTAATTTTTAAGTACTTGTAAGTTATCAGAAACTATCTATATTGTATTATAACCATCTTTTCTGAGAGTCTGACACCTCCCTCTTGCTTCTCTGTATCACCACTACCTAACACTCCGTACAGCCTAACGTACTAGGCCACGGGCTCCTTAGGTGTTGGAAACAGTTAATGTGGTTGGCTGCTAACCAAAGGAGTTGGTTGGAGTTGGAGTCCACCCACAGGCCATCTGGAAGAAAAGTCTAGTGATCTACTTTTGAAAAACCAGCCATTGAATCCTCTCTAGAGCACAGGGTTGCTGTGAGCCAGTGTTGACTCGGCAGCAACTGGTACCTAGCACACAGTAGCTCCTAACAAATGTTTATACTGGAAGGTAAGGAAGTGTGAGGGGCATCACTTCTTCACCCCACAGCTGGGGCCGGGCTTTTCTCTTCTCACGCTTAGCACCTCATCTTCCTTCTGACCACCATAGCAGTCTCTTAGGTGCTCATGCAGTGTCCGTGTCACCAGGGCAGGGACAGCTGTTCACATTGATCAGTCTATCCCTGTGCTGCCATATATCCCAGCATGCAGTGCATAATGTCATCCCTGGGAGAAAGGATAGGAGAACGGGGACTGACCCTGAGGGGTGGGTTCAAGTTTGCCATTTGCCATTAAGTTCACAAGTCACTCGGCATTTTTGTTGCTGGCTATCATTGAAGCTAAAATACAGAATCATTTCATTGACAGAGAACCCTGTCTTCATCTTCAGGCAACATCAACTGGAATGTCCCTCTCTTGCTAACTGATCATAGAACCCTGTTCTCCTCACTGAGGAACTTCTTTCCAGGTATGGGTAGTTGTAGAATGATGGATTACTTGTATTGCATTATTTTAAATTTAGTAACATTGTCATTTGTTACAGTGCTTTCTATTTTGGGCTGTCAAGTACTATTTCTATGTATGGTAATAAGGTGTTCTTCAGCATTTTTATTTAAATAAAAAAGTGAATTGATATAAAGAAAAAAATTAAGTAAATCGTAGTACAGGTATGTAGCAAAAAGAAGTATGATGGTTTTGTTAGATATACTTTACCACAATAAAAAGAGAGGAATGACAACATTTGTGACAACTTTTGAACATTTTCAACATTTGAACAACTAAAAGTAAATCTTTAATGGAATAAGGATTGTTTATCAAGATGTGGCTTAGCCTGAGTGAAATAGCCCACGAAGGGCAGCGTCAGTCCATGTTCAAACAGTAGTTGGAAGGTGTATTTTTCTTAGGACAAGGCTGAAGTTTTCCTCCAACTCTCAAAGCAATCTGTGATCTGCATGATACCCACCACTACTGCAATCCCCTCTTTTTGCTGATTCCACACTCACCAAGGAATCTGATTACTTATCACTACAGATACTTCTTCCTAATTTGCCAGGTATCTTGACTACAGGAAGCCCATGTCCTGGTTAGGAGATTCTACAGGTCTGGCCACTGAACTATGGATCTCACAAACTAACTGACGTGGCTTCCAACTCAACTTCTTATGCAGTTGATCCACATGATTCAGTCTCATTGGGTCTGATCAAGTGTTTGAACTGAAAAAACTGAGGACCAACCTCAGAGGCCAAGTGTCTATGTCCTGGTGTATCTGCCCACTCTGAGGCCAGGGGCTCATTTGGCCCTCCCCTACTGCCTAGGACAGGGTCAGCCACATGGAGACCGGCCACAGATGTTGTTGATGAAACGCATGAATCAGAAAGCTCTTTACCCACATGAGAGGGGTTGTAGTTGTATCCAACATGACACAGGCACAGCAGGGACAGCGTACCTGCCTGATAGCACTTCCTTGGGTTACTGGGGTGGAATGAAGGAGAAGGTACCGAAGAAGTTAAGAGCAACACAGCTTTTAATGATTTTTTTAGTCTGGAATCCAGAGGTGCTAGCTGTTGCCTGATACTAACACAATTACAAGCATTGGCTTTCCTCTCCAAAAAGTTACAGAAGTGCAGCACATGGACAGGATGAGACACTGGACTGTTTTCTAAAATCCCCCTGCAAGCTAGGGCTGCTGCCACTTACAAGACTCCCCGTATACTTGTCACTCCACCCCACCCTGTTTATCAATTCACATTGCAGGACGTTCTTGACCCGAGGGATGCTGGGGGAGGAACTTCTCTTTTGAGACTTTGGACATTCAAGAGTCATTTTTCTTGGTTATACTGCTGATTGCATTCAATGTTCCCTCACTGGTGATCCAAGAGGCTGGCATTATGGTTCTTTATGAGTTCTTCTGAGGAACCTTGATAGTGACCTGTAAGAGGGGTTCAGAGAAACCATAAGTCTTCGTTCTCCCCTATGATCTGTAGGCACTCCCTTAGTTGTAACATCCTGTTGGCCAGCTGCCCAGTCCCATGAACCACTGGGGCAATATTCAGTGTGAGGTCACACTCATATCTCCTTAACCCAGTGGTTCCCAACAGGGGTGATCATGCCTCCCCGGGGACATCAGGCAGTGTCTAGAGACATTGTTAGTTGTCACAACTGGAGAGGGTGGGTTACTGGTGTCTAGTGGGTTAAGGCCAGGGATGTTGGTAAACATCCCCACAACAAACAATGACCTGCTGTCACAGCTTGTCTCTTTATTCTCAGGGCTTACTAGCACTATGCCTGGAAGCAAAGCCAGACCTCCCGCATCTGTCTCGCTTCCCCCTGCTCCTCCTGGTTTGTCAAGCACCTTCTCTTTTCCAATCCTGGGACAGTCCAGGTAGGCTCATTTCTCTTTTCTTTAACTTCCCTTTATGTGTATGTTCTCTGGTTGACTGTAATTAGTGTTTATTGCAGAGAAAAAATCATTATCACACAAGCTTTATTTTCCCCCTCCTTGTGTATATTGATAAATTGATGTCCAATTATCTCTATATCTGCATATATAGTTTTAAAATCAAGCTGCTACTACATATCTGTCTGTATCCTGCTTTTTCACTTTCAAGGATGAGCATTTTCTCTATCAAATATTCTATTTAAAAAAAAAAAAAAGTAATGGCTTCCTAGCTACCCCATGGTTTGGGTGTTTGATCATTTCCTGGGCATTTAGGTTACACCTGACTCTCCCCTACCAGAGGCAATGCTCCAAAGGAGACTTACACATTCTCTGTATTTCTGATTAGTTCTAAAGGCTCTATTCCTATCATTGAAGTTGTAAAATCAAAGGCTGTGGGTATAAGTAGGGCCTTGATTGCAAATGCCTGGCTCTCTTTAGAAGCTTCTCCTCATTGGTCCAGCCCACATGGCTTTCTTTCCTCTCCAGTCCCCAGCCCTGGGCATATATCACAAAACCTAGCAAATGACTGTGCCAACGTGGCCAATTCCTGAGTTAGGTCCCACAGGACAGAGCAGACACAGGGTCTTCATCTCCTTTCATAGCTTCTTGGGCTTAGAAGGAGAAGTTGGTGATAAATACTGACAGACTCAAGTGTGACCTGGGAGAGGGCTGGGGTTGGGCACGTGGTGGGGCACCCTACTCACGGTTTTCACTTCAGTGTATGCCTGCAGACCATACTCTCCAAGCTCCCGGCCATTCCCAGACATCTTGTAGCCACCGAATGGGGACTGGGCCCCAAACACATCATAGCAGTTGATCCTAGAATTGGAAATGTCATTGGTGCTGTTGATTCCAACTCACAGCAACCCAGTGTGACAACACAGAACTGCCCATAGGGTTTTCTGAACTATAATCTTTGTGGAAGCAGACTGACCAATCTTTCTTCCATGGAGCTGCTGGTGGCTTTATACTGCGACCTTTCACTTAATAGCCGAGTGCTTAACCACTATGCCACTAGGTCTCCTTAGAATTTGAAACTGGATTCCAGAAATACCTCTTGGGGGCATTTGCCACACCCTTGGAACCTCCTGCATTGCTCTGAAATCTTCACTGTGGAATAGTGCCATGTGAAATGAAGTCTCAAGTCATCCTTCTCCTTCAGGTTGTGGTCACAGAAGGCTGACAGTAACAAGTGCACTACGATAGCTTCTGATTTTAACAAACTATGTTTGCTAATTAGATGTCAAGAGTTTTAAGGGTTTTTTGCAACTATAAATTGTTTAACATTCAATTGAAATTAAATTTTACATTTTAATTTCAATTCAATTTAAAGTATACAATTCAGTGCTTTTCAGTACATTCAGAATGGTGTGGCACCATCCTCACTAATTACAGAGCATTTTCACCATAAAAACAGAAATCCTGTACCATTAGCAGTCACTTCCAGTCCCCTACCCCCTGGCAACCATAATCTGCTTCCTGTGTCTGTCGATTTGCCTGTTCTGCACATCTCACATAAACACAGTCATACAACATGGGGCCTTTTGTGTCTGGCTTCCTTTACTCAGCATACTGTTTTAAGGGTCTCTCCATGTTGTAACATGCCAGGCCCTCATTGCTCCTTGTGCCTCAGCAGTATCCCATCGTATCCATGGATCACATTTTGTTTATCCTTTCAAATGCTGATGGACATCTGGGTTGCTTGTGCCTTCCCTATTATGAATGGCTCTGCCATGAACACCGGTGTACAAGGCTGAGCCTGAGTACTTGCTTTCAATTCTCCACGTCTATTCCTAGGAGTAGAGTTTCTGGGTCATATGGTAATCGTGTGTTTAACTTTTTGAGGAAATGCCAAATGTTTTCCACAGTGGCTGTACTATTTTACATCCCCACCAACAACAGATGAGGGTTCCAATTTCTGTTTCCTCACCAGCACTTACTATTTTTCACTTTGTTTCTTTTGTATTGTTTGTTACAGTTATCCTAGTGGATGTGAAGTAGGTGCGTAGCTTTAAGATCAGTATTGCAAACGTCCATGCCCTTAGCCTTGGTCTCCCACCCTGGGTACAGCTTGGTAAGGAGCCCATCACCCATCTGCTCCCCAAGAAGAGCAGGATGGGGCATGTGCATTGTAGAGAAGTTGGATCCTGGAAGGGAGGGGACAGGGAGCTTTAATCCATCGGCTGTACCATACCCTGACCCAGGAGAAACTGACCAGCACCCCACATTCGGGAACAGTGAGCAATGAATCCCAGAAGACCCTGGGGCTTTAAGGGCTCCTAAAGGCTTTGGAGGGGATGCTTGGGGGCTCTTACCATACAGTGCCAGCCTGAAGGACTTGGGACAGATAATTGGCCTTGTCCAAGTCCTTTGTGAAGACAGCTGCAGCCAGCCCATACTTGGAATTGTTGGCCCTCCCGACGACCTCCTCTATGGTCTTGAACTTCAGGACCTGCATTACTGGCCCGAAGATCTGGGGTGAGAGAGCAAAGTAGGAGATGCCAGACAGGGAACCCTGCTACCCAGCTTTCACAGCACTGAATGGATAAGTCCAGACGTGATGGCGAGCCCCAAGTCCCAAAGGGAGACAAGCGTTCCCCAGCTCAGTGACAACACACAAAGGGAAGGAAGCCAGCATGGACAGTGTCCTCCTCTGTGTTGTGGGCTGACACACACACTCTAATTTCTCAACAACCCTGCAAGGTACAGATGATTCACATGTTATACCTAGATTTAGTTTCAAAGAATTTAAATCAGTCATTTAGCAACCATAATCTAGGTGCAAAGCATATAGCAGGATGCTGAAGAAACAACTGCAAACAAGATATAATCTCTGCCCCAAGATGTTCCAAGTTACTCTAGTACTTTCCCTGCTTAGTCCTGGAATGAGCTATTTCTCCAAGGAACCTGGTCCTTTTAGTGGAGAAGGGGACTGAGAAACCAAGAAATGGCTTGTTGTTGCTACCGGGATGCCGTTGCCTTCAGGCCCTCTCAGTGCAGAGAGCTGAGTGGGGGCCCTGACCATGGATGCTGACACTGCTTACATACAGTACCGAGGAGCAGTGCAAGCCCAGAGGCCCTGCTGCTTCAGCTTTGGCAGCGAGAGGAGGGCTGTCAGGGAAGGCTGCCCAGAAGTGGCAGTCAAGCCTTGACATCCCAAGAGCAGAAGGAGGGACAGCTAAGAGAGGGTGGGGGACATGTGAGAGGCACAGCAGGGAAGAGGGACATGGCACACCAGTGCCCATTCTTGACTCATAGGAGCCAGGACTCCTTGAAGACCTGGCTGATCCCAAGGCTGGAGAGTATAAGGACAGAGATGGAGAAGACTACCAGGAGTTCCCCGAGGCCAGGGCACCAGCAGTGCAGCTGGTGGGGTGGGCTCATGACACCAGCACAGGAGAGACAGTCTTGCCCCCCACCCCCTGGAAAGCAGCATCGAGGTAGTCAGGATAGATGGGGAAAAGGCAGAACATTACACATGAAAGCGGGTGGCACCATACTGCTATTCCTACGCAGGGCAGCTAAAGATCTGAATCCAGCTTGGGGAAGTAGAGTCTGAACTCCAGGGTAGCAGAGAAGGCATCTTAGATGCCCCTGTATCTCCAGGGTCTGTGGAGGGCTTGGCACATAGTAGGCATTCAGTAAATATCTGTGGCATGAATGAATGAATGGATGAGGTAGAGCTGCTGACCCGAGCTCACGAGGAGGGCCCGGGAGGAGAACGTCAAGAGAATCGCTCCTGTAGGGAGGCCAGCCCTTTGGTCTAATCCAATGTCCTGCTCATTGTGTGACAGCCTGGTAGCGTAGTGCCTAAGGCACCTGACTGCTAACCAGAAGGCTGGTGCTTCAAACCTATCAGCCACTCCTCAGAAGGCTGGGCAATCTACTTCTGTAGTGATACTGCCTTGGAAACCCAAGGAGGGGTTGCCGAGTCGGGTCTGACTTGATGGCACACAACAACAACAACACAAAGGCCAGGGAACTTCATTCTGAGACTCAGGGCTCATAGTAATCAGATCACCAAGGGCCCTGAAAGATACACTAAGGAATTTAAAATTCCTCCTAGACAGTGGGGAGCCTTCAAGGGCTGAAAAACGAGAGTGAGATCACATGGGAATTATAAATAACTTGTCCTAAGCACAGAGGCCAAGTCCCTATGTGGTACAAACGTTTAATACACTCAGCTGCTAACCAAAAGGTTGGGAGTCAAGTCTACCCAGAAGCTCCTCAGAAAGGCCTGGCCATCTACTTTCAAAAAGTCAGCTACTGAAAACTGTATGGACCACATTTCACTGTGACACACATGGGGTCACCATGAGTCAGAGTCAACTTGATGACAGCTAAGCACAAAGGTGGGATATGACCCAGAGCCAGCTGGGGGATCAGTGTCAAGCAGCTGGGTCGAGCCCCCCCAAAAAAAACTCCAAAGACCATTCCCCAGAGTGCAGGCCCTGTGCTTACCTCCTCCTTTGCAATGGTCATGCCATCCTGCACATCTCCAAACACAGTGGGTTGGATGAAGTAGCCACGATCAGCAGCAGCCCCCCCACCACACAGCAGCTTTGCACCCTCCTGCTTCCCAGACTGGATATAGCCAAGAATCTTCTTAAACTGAGCTTCATCCACCTGTGACAGAAGGAGCAGTTATCCGGGATGCCAAGCCAGAGTCAGATGTCTCCCAGACCATGCCTGCAATGAGAAGCCTGAGAGACGGGTCAAGGTCACGAACAAGCAAATCCCAGAAAAGGGAATTCAGATGGCCAGGAAACCTAAGGCAAAAAAGGCTCAAGCTCATTAATAATCAAAGAAATGCAAATCAAACCTATTGGTTTTGTTTTTCAGTTACCAGATTAGCAGACATTTAGAATACTGAGAAAACACTCTGATGGCGAGAGTATGTCATATACACCGTTGGAAGGGCTGTTGAGTGGTACAGTGTTTTTGGCTCATACCCATTGATTCAGCAACATACTGTACAATTCTATTTATATGAAAAGTCCAGAAAAGGTAAATCCATGGGGAGAGAAAGACTGGTGGTTGCCAGGGGCTAGAGGTGGAGGGATGTAGAGTGATTAGTAATGGGCGCGGGGTTTCCTTTTGTGTGATAAGAATATCTGGAATTTTTTTAAAAAGATTTTTCTGGAATTAGAAAGTGGTGATGGTTCCACAACACTGAATATACTAAAAGCTACTGAATTGTACACTTTATAACAGTGAATTTATAGTTTATGAATTAAATCTTAATAAAGCCTACAGCCGTCAGTATGGATTACACCTCAACATAAAACAAAAACCCTCACAACTGCACTATCAAGAGCAACATCATCATAAAGGAAGGAAAGGATGAAGTTGTTGAGGATTTCATTTTACTTGGATCTACAATCAACACCCGTGGAAGCAACAGTCAAGACATCAAATGATGTACTTATTGCACTGGGCGGCTCTGCTGCAAAAGACCTCTTTCGGGTGTTAAAGAGCAAAGGTGTTACTTTGAGGACAAAGGTGCACCTGACCCAAGCCGTGGTATTTTCAGCCACCTCTTATGCATGCAAGAGCTGGACAATGAATAAGGAAGACCAAAGAAGAGTTGATGCCTCTGAATTATGGTGTTGGCAAAAAATACTGAATATATCATGGACTTCCAGAAGAACACACAAAATCGTCTTGGAAAAAGTACAGCCAGAATGCTTCTTGGAAGCAAGCATGGAGAGATCGTGGACAGGTTGTCAGAAGGGACCAGTCCCTGGAGAAGGACATTATGCTCGGTAAACTGGAGGGTCTGTAAGGAAGAGGAAGACCTGCAATGGGACGGACTGACACAGTGGCGCCAGCGATGGGCCCAAGCACAGCAACTACCGTGAGGATGGTGCAGGACTGGGCAGTGTCTTTCTGTTGGACACAGGGTTGCTCTGAGTTGGAGCCAACTATGGCACCTAACAACAACAACAACAACAAAATCAAACTAACAAACTGTTAAGGAAAGTACGTTCTATCCTCCCACCTTCTCAACACCCAGAAGGCTGAGCCTGAATCCAGAATTCTCAAATTCCTGAACACCTGTCCCTTTGCCTCCCACCTCAACTCCATCCTACACCTCGAGGGCCCTCCTTTGCATGTGTGCAGACACCCCAGCACACGTCCAAGTCCCATCTCTGCCTCCCACAAAAAACGGTTGTCCTCAGCCAACCCTGAGACCTGGGGCACGGACCCCAGCAGCATAGACCACTCCAGGGGCTAGAGCCTAGGAAGAGGCTGTGGGGGTCTGTAGTGGGCTTGGGACATGTGGAGAAGAAGTTCTGAGAAGCAAGACCCAGAGTGAGATCTACAAGGGGCAGTGAGAATCAGGCTGGGAAAAGCCCCGATCCTGTGGTCTGGCCTCACAGAAGGGGGTGACTGGAGGCAGTCAGCACAGGGCCCTCTGGAGTGGGGCCGGGCAGACTGGGCCTAAGGGCTGCGCAGGAATAAGGAAGGACCAGATGTGAGGAAATGGAGAGAAAAGCACTGTATTTATTACTTTATTATCTGTTCATTCTCTATTTGAAGTGCTGGTATTTTTTCATTGTTGTTGTTGTTGTTATGTGCCGTCGAGTCAGACCCGACTCATAGCGACCCTTCCTTGGGTTTCCGAGGCAGTATCACTACGGAAGTAGGTTGCCCCATCTTCCTTCCGAGGAGTGGCTGGTCATTCTTTATTCAAATGAAATTCACCAACATAAAATCCACCATTTTCACCTTAAAGCATATGCCTCAATGCATTTTAATACAGTCACAATGATGGGCAGCTATTTCCTCTAACTCCAGAACTCTTTTATCACCCCAAAAGAAGGGCTCTGCCCCTTAGCTCTCATGCCTTTTCTTCATCCCCAGCCCCTGGTAACCACTAACCTGCTTTCCATCCCTATGGATTCGCCTAGCCTGCACATATGAATGGAGTCCTACAATGTGTGACCATTTGTGTGTTTCTTTCACTCAGCATCAGGCTTGAGTCTTTCATTCAATGTATGGACACCTCATTTCTCTTTATGGCTGAATACTACTCCACTGGATATATGAACCACACATTCTGTTTCCCCTTCAATCTGCTGATGGCCATTTAGGTTGTTTCCACCAGCTGGCTACACTGTATCCATTATAGTGCTGCACTGGGCATTGGTGGACAGGCATCTGTTTGAGCCCCTGCCTTCAACTCTCTTGTATATAAACCTAGCAGTAGAATTTCTGGGTGATATGGTAATTCTATGTTTAATTTATTGAGGAACTGCCAAACTCTGTGTGTGTGTGTTTCTTCATTACAGTTATTACTGACTACAGTTTATTGAGTTTCAAGTAACAAGAAATCCCTACCTTAGCCCATACCATGGCCCTGCCCACCCCTAGATAACCACAGTTGAGAGATGTGTGTATCCTTTCAGACATCTGATAGATGCATTTTTATGGCTGGCCAACGTCAAAAAAACACATTCTTTTTTTGCACAGACACACCCAGCACTTCATCTCATATGGACATTTTACAAAGTGCTTGCAAGCAGCTGATTTCCCCTTCACTGCCAGCTGTGAAGTAGGAAGGGTGGGCTTGACGGATGAGCAGACGGCAGCTCAGGGAGGTGACCTGCTTCCCGGGGCCACATGGCAGAGCTGAGACTTGAGTCCAGTCTTGCCTGCCTCTGCAGCTACCAGCTTACCTGGGGCCCCTGCTCCGTCTGGCTGTCAAAGGGGTTCCCAACGACCCGCGACTTGGCGCGGGCGACGCTGCGCTCCAGGAACTCGCTGTACACGTCCTCCTGCACGAAGACCCGGGAGCCGGCGCAGCAGCACTGGCCTTGGTTGAAGAACAGGGCGAAGTGGGCCTGCTCCACGGCCCAGTCCACTGTGGACACAAGGCAGAAAGGCTGCGTGAGGCCAGGAAGGGGTGGGGGAGGAAGAGAAGAACACCTGCGTCCCAGCCAGTGAACCCCTACTCAGTGAACCTAAGAGGCCCACCACACAGTTAGGGGCCCACCACACAGTTAGGGCCTTGATGGAGTGTGGCAGTGAATGGGAAGATAGAGCAGCACTGTCCACCCCGTGGGGACCCACCCAGCCTGCAGAGGGCGGAACTGGGAGTCAAGGAGACAGTAGCAAGAAGACGGGAATGCGGTGAGAGTTTAGTCAGAGAGACAGTGTGTGAGGCAGCTGAGTGCAGCTGGACTCCAGGGAGGAGAGGTCAGGTCCCGTGACCAGCAGGCCAGGCTGTAGGTCTGGCTTTGAGTTTACCTGGAGGTCCTAGGGCAGGATGCGAGGATGAGATGCCAAGGAGGAGGACAGAAGCAGGAACAGACTGCTCAGCTGACTCCCCCCCCCCAGGCCTCCTCCCTCCCCTGGGGCTTACTGTCAGCATCCGACATGATGATGTTGGGGCTCTTTCCCCCCAGCTCCAGGGTCACCCTCTTGAGGTTGCTGCTCCCTGCAGCCACTTGAATTAGGTGGCCAACCTTGGGGCAGCAGAAGCAGAGACACACCATCAGTGTGTGTGTTTGCGTGCACGTGTATGTGCGTAAAGAGAACAAACGCTCTCAACAGACACACAGAACGGAGAAGCCCACAGCTGCAGAAAGCCACGGAGTGACAAGAGGCCTAGAGGACCTCCCCACATCCAGCCATTCACTCGCCATGGCTGCCCCAGCCCACTGAGCCCCTCAGATATGACAACAGCCCGAGCAGTTGTCACTGTTGTGCGGCTTCTGCCTCGTACCAGGCGCCACACTCCATGTGCTGTGTACATTACGTTCTATCCTTCTGAAGCCCAAGCTCTGGAGCACAATGGCAGTGCCAGTCACGGAGCCTGACACTCAAGGGCTGTGACAGGTGGCTCTGGGCTTTGTGAAGTCTAAATGGTCACAAACTCTTTACTCCTCAGGAGACAATCATGCTCCCCCCGAGCAGCTGGACTGTCACTCCAACCAAGACCGGCTCAGCCCTGCAGTCTCTCCTGGCACAGCCACGGTCCCTCGCATGAGCAACCTGGAGGCAAGTCCTTCTTGGGACAGGAACACCACGCCCAGAAGCTAACCACAAACGTATCATTCTTTGAAGACATGGGGAACTTGAGGTCCCTAGAACCCCTTACCTCAGTGGAGCCTGTGAACGCCACCTTGTCCACATCCATATGGGACGCTATGGCAGCCCCAGCCGTTGGGCCAAATCCAGGAACAATGTTGACCACGCCCGGGGGAAAGCCAGCCTGTAGGCAAACAGCCAAGGGCACTGTGAGTCCTGCCGCTGCTCTGAAGGGCTAGATGGTGGGGTGAAGGCAGCAGAAGATACGCCCCTTCCCAGGGAGGTTTTCAAGGTTTCGTTGTGTCCTTCCAACAGACAGGTTCAAGTCCTGACCCCTTGTTGTTGTTGCTATGTGCCATCGAGTTGGACCCGATTCATAGCGACCCCTCCTTGGGTTTCCAAGGCTGTATCGCTATGGAAGTAGATTGCCTAACCTTTCTTCTGAGGAGTGGCTGATGGGTTTGAACTGCTAGCCTTCTGGTTAGCAGTCAAGTGCCTTAGGCACTATGCTACCAGAGCTCTGACCCCTAGTACCCGTGAATGTGACATTGGCTGGGAATAGCATCCCTGCAGATGTAATCAGTTAACAGGAGGCCAAACTGATATGGGTGGGGCTGACTCAGTATGACTGGGGTCCTCCTAAGAATTTAAGGGAATCGGAGAGACACAGACACACAGGGCATCCAGCCACGTGGAGATGGAGGCAGCGATCGGAGCGATGCATCTACCCACAAGGAACACCAAGGGCTGCCGGGAACCACCAGAGGGCGGAGGGGCCCCTAGAGCCTGCAGAGAGCATGGCTCTGCTGACACCTTGACCTCCAACTTGTGGCCTCCAGCTAGTCTGTCTACCCAGTTTGTGGTCCTGTTACAGAGGCCCTGGGGAACCAGGACAGGTGGCTAAGATGGTTTTTGTAAGCAGAAGCAGGTTATTATGGGGTACTGCAGAGGGATTCTAAACAGCAGTATGAGAAGCCCGTTTCTTGGGGTCCCCTGTGACTGCTGCCTCTCCCTATGACATTCATTCAGAACAATGGTTTTCCTTCTTCAAAGGGATCTTGGCAGGGGAGCTAATGCCGGAAATAGGGGAGAACACGGTTGGGGTTGGGATCAGTCCCTGCTCTATTCCCACCCCACTCTGACTCTGGGCCCCACCTCAGATATCTACACAAGAGCATTTAGAGGTCAAGACAAAAACAAGTGACATACCTCCTTAATCAAGTTGGCCACATAGAGGGCAGTGAGTGGGGTCTGCTCAGCTACTTTCATCACAACCACGTTGCCGGTTGCCAAGGCCGGGCCCAGTTTCCACGCTTGCATCAGGAGCGGGAAGTTCCACTGCAACAGACAATGGCCCCCACAAGGAAGGTGGGCATAGAGTTCTCTGAACCCTGTCTGTGCTCCCCCCCAACTCAAGATGGATGCACAATGCAGGTGGTTGATGACAATAACAGCAACTGATACTTACGAGTGCTTTCTGTTTACCAGGCCCCATGCTAAGCCCTTATTAGGCATAGCCATCCAATACCCTCCTGATAGAGGTACTATGCTCATTTCCATTTTTCAGATGAATAACTGAGGCTTGCAGGGATTGGGGAGTTGCTTAAGTCACAGAGTTAATGAATGGCAGGACTGGGACTCAGACTTGGGCTTGGTTTGGTCAAAACCCATGTTCTCAACCTCCAGCCATGTTGCCTTCTGGCTTCAAGCCACATGACTCCACGCCTGTGCAAGAGGCTGTCTGAAACTACGGAGTGTGTCAGTTGTGTTTTTCAGATAGCCCTCGTCACTCCTGATCCACCTCTGCAGAGGCTAGCACTCACCGGGATGATCTGCCCACACACCCCCACGGGCTCGTGGCGGGTATAGCTGAAGAAGTCCCCGTCAATGGGAATGGTTTTTCCATGGTACTTATCGGCCCAGCCTGCATGATACCTTTAACAAACAAACAAAAAAGGCAAATAGCTTTAATCAACGACTAAGAGGGAACCCTGCAAACTTTGGCAGAAAATGAAAAAAGACTCAAAACTGGTCTAATTCAGATTTTCTAATAACTGCCTTTGCTTTTAGCTTATTTCCCAGAAACACTTAACAACTGTGAAGGTCACAGTAATGTACTCTGGGTAAGTAACTTGAAAGCATCGGAATCCACTGCAGTGCTTGTTAAAAACACCAAATTCCACCAAACTGACTACTCAATCCAGCTCTCTGTTGATGCCTAGGAATCTGTGTTTTCATAGACACCCAGCTTATTGAAACGTGAATACTGTTATCAGTCCAGCAGCAGTTGATAGACCAGCATCTGAGACCCGTGGACTGAATGTGGTGGAGAAAACTGGCCACCACAGCCTGTGCGCGGAGCACTGTGCCACAGAGTGAACAGTCACAGGAAACACGAGGTCATCAGCTGGGCCCCGACCCTCGGAAAGCTCGTTATCTATACACGCTGTTGCTGTTAGTTGTCATAGCTCTCGATCACGGGTGACCCCACGCACAACAGAATGAAACTGCGCATCTTGCCCTGTCTCCACCATCCCTGGCGTGCACCAAGCCACTGCTGCAGCTGCTGCGTTCTGAGTGCCTTCCCACCTGGGCGCTCATCTTCTAGCACTGCCTCAGGTAACGTCCTGCTGTGATCCACACGGTTTCCGTTAGCTAATTTTTGGAAGTAGACTGCCAGCCCTCCCTTCCTAGTCTGTTTTAGTCTGGAAGCTCTCCTGAAACTTGTCCACCATGGATGACCCTGCTGGTGTTTTCAGTACTGGTGGCATAGTTTCCAGCATCACGGCAACACTTGAGCCACTACAGTATGACAGACTGACAGAGAGATGGTAGATCTAGAGACAGAGGGACACACGTGATGGAAAAGCACAGCAATGAGAATGGGGGATGCAAAGAGCAGCTGTGTGTTCATGATATGTGATGGTTTACATTTTCAAAGGCAGGAAAAAGGAAAGATGAAAAGACAGGGGATAAAAGGAAGATGGCTGAAATGAGTGGCCCCAGGGTTAGCCCAAGACCCTGGTTGATCTGAGTTTGAATGATGATGGGTTTGTGACTCTGGAGAGAGAGAAAAGCAGCCAAGGACATGGCAACTGACATGAGTTAAAGCGTTGCCACTCCTTCCCTCCCAGCTCTATTGGGATGATGTGGTTTATGTGACTCAAATTTTGCTGCCTCAGTCACTTAATCCAAGACATATGGTGAAAACTCCAGAAAGGAGTGCAGCTCACTCTCTCTGGGGTGTAACTCTGGGGTGTTACACAGCGGTGTAACTAACAGCAGCACTGCTGACATTTGGGGTACTTCCGTTGCCCCTGAGTCAATTCCAACTCATAGCAACCCTAGAGGACAGAGTAGTACTACCCTATAGGGTTTCTAAGGCTATAATCTTTACTGCCTCATCTTTCTCCCACTGAGTGGCTGGTGTGTTTAAACTGCTGACCTTTTGGTTAATAGCCAAATGCTTTAGTCACTGCACTCTTGGAGCTCCAAGCTGGCATGTAGGGTGTTAATTCTGTCATGGGAGGCCAACCTGGTATTGTAGGATGTTGAGCAGTACCCTCACCAGTTGTGACACCAAAAATGTTTCCAAACCTACTGCCATCAAGTCAATTCCAACTCCTAGTGACCCTCACTTAGCTTCCAAGGCTGTAAATCTTTACAAAAGTAGATTGCCTCATCTCCTCCCGTGGAGCAGCTGGTGGGTTTGAAGTGCCGACCTTCTGGTTTACAGCCAAATGTTTTACCCACCAGTGCTGCCAACCGTTCCTGGGGCATAGTCACTCTGACTGCAACCCCTGGTGTAGAGGAGAGCTACCATTTTGTTGTGCAACTCCTGCTTTTCTGGACTGTTCTTCTTCACCACCTCGCCCGCACAGTCCCTGGGGGAGCAGCTATTATTTATACAGTGATCTGTCCACTCCGACCACAGCTGCTCAGACTCAAGGCCAGCCAATCAGAGCCCTGACCCCAGAATTAGGTATTAGGAGTAAGAGTGGAACAGTGTAGTCTGCCGGGATCACAAATACAGAAGCGAGCCCAGGAGTTGTGGGCAGCCAGGTTCCAGTGCATGGACTGGCCCCAAAGGAGGCAGTGGATAGCTTGGGAGAAGAAACAGGTAGACAGGGATGGACAGTGGTCAGTGAGATGTGATGGGGCCCTGGACTCCTTGAGAACCCATCTCTATATGCCTTAAATTTAGCTCAGCTTCTGTTACTAGTCACCCTTCAGACCTAGAATTAAACTCACTCCCGTGGCTTCCAGCTAATCAATAGACAGACCCATGAGGTGAACCATTACACCAGGTAGGTACATTCCTTAGAACAATCAACCGTTGGAGATCAGAAGGGCAGCATTTGTACAGGGAGAAAGCTCAGAGGGCAGGAATGCACAGGAAAGCAGGACACAGGGAAAAGGTAATCACAGGGAAGACGTGGGGAGGGAGCTGTTACATTATGGGGATGGCAATCAATGTCACGAAACAAAATGTTTATGAGCTGTTGTATGAAAAGATCAACAAAATTGACAAACTTAGCTACACCAAGAAAAAAAGAGAAAAGACAAAAATTATTAAACTCAGAAATGAGTGAGGCCGTTAACTAACACCAAGCTTACAGAATAAAATGGACTGTAGAGAACATTGTGGATAACGGTACTTCAACAAATCATATAACCGTCCTTCCAGCTGCTCCACGGGAGGAAGACGTGGCAGTCTGCTTCCTTAAAGTTCACAGCCTTGGGCAATAATGGCTGCACAACATGAAAATGTCATCAATATCCCTGTGCTGTAAATGTGCAAGTTACCATGTTGGCAAATGTCCTGTTGTGTATGTTTTCACCACAATAAGAGTATTTTTTTAAAAAAAAAATGATTATGGCTTTGGAAAACCTATGGGACAGTTCTTTCCTGTCCCATAGAGTTGCTATGAGTCAGAATCTACTTGATGGCCATGGGTTTGGGTTTTTTTGGTAGATGAAATGGACAAATTCCTAGTAACACACAAAATGACTGAAGCAGAATTAGAAAACCTTTATGATTAAGTTACAGTTTTTGATACTGAAGGATTTCCCAAGAGATACAGTCTAACTGGACAAGGTTCTCCAATGCCTGTGGGCCTTTTGCATTACGTGCCATTCTGTTTCCAACCCCCACCTCCAGCACCACTCCCACCCTTTTGGTAACAATAGAACAAGGAAGAATAGGAAATTAGAGCCTGTACCGGAGACATTTGATGACCATGTTCAAATCCACCAGGTAGGAGATGACATAGGGTTTGCCATTGTCCAGAGTCTCCAAAGCCTGAGAACAGAAAACGAGGTCAGCAGAGCCGTGCTGGATCAGTGAGGAAACAAAGCCAATGGGCTGGCACACTGACCAAGAAGTTGGGGGAGGCAGGGGGTGAGAAGCCTCTCTGTGCCACCGAATGTTGCTGGCTAGCAGGTGGGTGGGCGTTTCTAGCCACTGCCCCACCCTCTCCAAGGCAGAGGCTGGGGAGGGATAAGGTATCAACTCATCCTTCAATCATTTTACAAGTAGTTTTTTGTGTGTGTTTGTGTGTGTGTGTGATTTGGATGAATGTTTACAGAGCAAATTCACTTTCCATACAGCAGCTCACATACACTTTGTCTCATGATATTGACTGCAACCT